ATATGCTCTAATCTAAAGAAAGTAAATTGGTAGACAGACTGACATACAAACTTGTGCTAAAATGCCATGTGCGTCTGAGTGTGATCTGTGCCACAGTCAACTAAATTAAATGAATCCACTTTACTGGTAGAGTTGTGAGTAATTATAGTAATTATACTGACTAATAATAATGACAATAATAGTGATAATAATAAACTATTTTCACAGTCAATACAGTTCAAGTTTATAGTGAAAGAACAGATAAGAAACTGATAACAACATCAGCACTACTATGTGCAGTATCTGATTAAGCTATGAGATCGTCCTCTAGAGTTGATAAGTAGACTCATACTAAAGGTGTAATAGCAATAGAAATGTGAATGGTAATAGTAGTATTATTAGTTTCTATTGTTTGAGAGTGATGGACTTATGAGAAATGACAAATAAACTTTTATTCAATAGAAAGTGGTGGAGAATAAAATTGCTACTTATAAACGATGTTATGAGTCGTAAGGTGGAATTTAGCCTCTGTTTGCACACATGATCAAATTACGAAGTACTGAGCACTTTCAAACGGATAGCTGTTCATTATCATGGTGCTCAGCCTTGCATATCATACCAACCTACCGAGCTGTCCTGTCTTCCTTCTCCTCCTAATATAGAAGAAAGGTGTGCTTAAGAATGGTTAAAAAAGGCTATCACCGTTATACTGCAAATCACTAAGCTGAGAGTAGGGCTTAGGGTTGGAGCCATATTGCCGGCTTGACAGCAATAAAATGTGTCGCATAAATGACAAGCAGTACCATGAGGATACTGACCTTCCTTTGAGAACAAACAGATTCGAAAAAGTAAGCTCCACACTCTCCTCTAACGTACGATATCGTGGTAGTGAAAGTACTAGTATTCTACCTGAATCCATCACAATCAAACACAAATCTCAAACTTCTAAAACGACACTGTGGGGTTAGCAACAGACAGATGTCTCATGAGCTCTGTAGCCGCACATCACTACTGATAATAAAATTCCTTTTTTACGTAACACAAAAACAACCAAACTTCCGTGGTGTAAACAAACAGAAAGTGTCAGGCCCTCACAACTACGTTACCACTCAGTTGCTCCCACATCATTATCTACCTTCGACATCTTCACCTTCTAATCTCCATCAACATTACTCGGTCCATATTCCCATGCCATTATCGATTTCTCAAAGATCCACAACCATAAATAGTGATACTCGCCCCCAAACCAGCATCCCCGTTCTCCTGAAACCTCATTCCAAACTACATGTCGGTGCTTCCAATATCCGGTGCATTCGTCAAATCAGATAACAAGCCTCGCCAGCCAAAATTCTGACATCATGGGTCATGTGTTGCAAAACATGCGTACATGACTCAATTATGGATATTCACTTAAACCCGCCAGAATAATATGGTGAGTCTGCAAAATTCACTCTCCGAACTTCCGGAGATCTGACGATTTGTTCTCACGATATTACAAATATGGGTATAGCGGAATGTATCAAGGTAGAACGTGCGTTCCCCAACTGGATCTCACTTGACAGTCGTCTGTGCGCTCTTTGGTTGAATTTTCCAGTGAGGACTAAGAAGAACGGTGTCTCCTTGTAATCTCAGCCTACGCAACAAATGACTTCAGCTTTGAAGAATTGGAAGATGAAATCTACAGAAACATATCTGGTCTTAAACTCCAAACCAGAATTTGAGGTGTGGCTGTAATAGCTGATGATTCCAAGGTACAAGCGGTTGGGCTGAACCAAGCAGGAAAGCCCTTCTGGGACACTGTATTACTCATTCAAACGAAGGAATGATGCCGACCGCCTGATACAACTATGCTTAGAAAGCGACTCCTATCTGACCAGTACGAACTTCAGAAATAAATTAGAGATGTTTTCTTACGTGACATGCGCCTACTAGAAATAACGATAGACACAGATAGGCCATATAGCTATGAGTTGTCGTCAGAAAGGGTCAGTGGAAGATTGTTGCCCCTTCTGTAGTATATACTTCGAAGGTGATTGATTTATAGATCCTCAAGTTGGCAACTGCGGTTCACGCTATCTATCACAGTCACGAAATCCATATTGAAAATATTAAAATTATTCAAAGAGGTTTTTCAAACTACAAAGAAAGAAGAATAGATGAAACATTTCACCTCATGTTTAATCCTAATACACTCAATAGAAAGGAAGGTCTAACTACCCAACCAACCTGGACAGTATTTCCAAAAACAACACATCACATACAATGACCAGAACAAAAGTGCATACACACAAACAAACCCAGCTTGTCATCCATAGTACTGTTCTTACACTTTCACACCCAGTCACCTGTGCACTTATTCATATCGCTTTGAACTTCAGACTAATAAAAGAAAACAAAGACAAGTTTGGACGCTTCCTGACCAACATAACAATGACATTTACCTCCAACCGATGTCAGTCTACGATGAATACCAACTTGAAATATTTCTAAATCCGCACAACCTCCTTGAAATTCAATTGAACTGGTGCTCATTGGTGACTAGCTTCGAGAGGTGATTCGCGAAGTTCCAATGAGAAGTCGTGAGTAGTCGAGCTAGCCTAATGGTCGTGAGGACAGTTACTCAACGATGACATTGAGTGGCGGTTGCGCTATGTCGTAAACTGACAGAAGCTGGAAATATGGACCAGTGGATTCCGACCCAGTGGCTCATTGGTAACGTGCTGGCCACGGAATCTGAAGGTTTCGTGTTCGATCCCCAGCGGGCTCGTGGGTGTGCACTACTCGGAAGTCCCATGCTAGGACAAAACAGCTGTCCAGTGCTCCCAGGTTTCTACTGTCCCTCCAGGTGATGTCAGTCTACAACGAATACCGACCTGGAATTTACCTTTATATTATTATCATGTATAGAGAATGTGATCTGATCCGTCACCACTCACTATTTAAACAATCGATAACTTTTACAGGTTTTATTCTCTGAAGAAGCGATTTCCATGAAGTCGTGAAACGTCAGAAATTTATTTTTCTACTTTATCGGGATTTTACAAATATATTTGGTTTATGTTAAAGCAGCTTTGATCGTGGATCGTCATAAACTACAAGACTAATATGAACTACCAGTCAATGGACAGCCTATTCTTCTCAGCTTAAACCTCTCTACCAGTGTGCACTCACAACTTTGTACAGAGTTAAACCCAGGACTTTCATATAACGTGGTGATTATTTTATCACCCCCAGGTAGTGTACTAGAATCCAACGGTTTACATTTTCCAGCTACTATCAATCTGTGATGTAGTTAACTTATTGCTTAAAAATATGTTTGAGTGAAATCACATTAAAATACTTGTAAACATAACTCTCCAATTTGTATTTGCCAGCTTCTTCGTTGATTTGTATCAGGTCAAATGTATATTGAGTTCGAAAAATTGGACTTCTTTTCGGATAAAAATCTATCTTTGGTAATTAAAGACGATATATGCGCAACAATTGTTGATTTCACACGACCAACTCCTGATGAAATAAAAACTAAATCTGGTCATCGTAATGTAACTGAGTAAGTTGAATAATCACTTAGTGAACATAGAATATTTTAATAATTTCTGCGCAAAATAAATCACCTCATTTTTGAGTAACACCTGTCGCGTGAAATGTAATGATATCATATAACTAATCATGACAAGATAGCTGGATTTGAATGTGATTGCTTCAGCAATTATGGTTGAAGAACAAGTGTTTACAGAAATTAGGTCACTGAAACATTATTTGTACTTTGAATAGTTCAGTGGATGTATATAACCAATCTTGATATATGCAAACTGTATATATCAATGAAAGTATGAACAACAAAATCTTGATATTAAAATGTTAATACCGTTATTCAGCCTTGATTTCACTGATTAATTCTTGTATGCATATCATCGAGTATTCAATATAACCTACATCGCAACGGTGACTCACGTTTAATGCAAACAACAACTAACTTGTTCAGTATCCCAAATAAATATATGGACGGTATGTTATGCATTATTCAAGTGTATAGTCTTTTCATTTTGACAAAGTGCAAGTATAGGATTACCTGCTTATTTCCGAATTCCATACATGTTGTAATAAACACACGTAGGTAATATCCATGATGTTCGGAACGTCTAGTCTTGAAGTGACTGTCTTATGGGTCATAAAATGAGTGGAGACCTTACCACACAAAATAGGAAAAAAGAGTACTCTTAGTTGATCAAAAGCAATTGGCAGGAATCCCTAAACCTAGGTTTCAAGCTTATTGGCACCCATTAGCAAGGTGTCGCTGCTAAACCGATGGGACTGATATCGTCTGAGACAGCTGGACGAGTGTCACCCATAGCTGCAGTCACAGACGATACGACTCAGTTTTTCAACTAGTTATATCAGTTGGAAAAGGACAATTCATTGCTCATAGTCCTATTCGTGAAACGAGACTCACCTAACACAAACAGTCACGTCTCTGTAAATTAAGACTCAGTATTATTTGTTGTACATCAAGTGACATCTATACAAACATTTGCCTTATTACCGCAATACAGTCATAAACGTATGAAGTAACTTGATGATAAAAACCATTACCAATCCTCATATTTATGTCTACGATCAAAACAATACATCAGGAAAATCTTCTACCCTGGTACTGACCGGTGGAGGTTTGAGGTCTTAAGCACTCACGGTCAAACAGACATTGTCTTAGTCCTGTATTGAAAATTACCATTTTCAATAGTTCTGTAGTATTTTCTCTAACCACAGGCCGTGTTGATAAGTGTCACAATCTGTCCACAACATCTAGCTGATGCCAGCCAAAACACCTATCAGTGAGGACTGCTAACCTACTGGCGTTTCATTCCACAATACAACTAACCTGTTCCCATTTTTCCTATGATTTCTAGCACATGTGGAATTTGGATTAAAAATCCAGTGAAAGGATTCAGATCGAGGAGACCAACCTAGCCAATTATGAATCAGTATGACGATACATTCACAAGGAACTGATGTAAACTCACCATTGAAATTGGTTTCAAATGACATTTCTCATGTATCTATTTGTTTGTAGAAAAAACGAAAACTTCAAGCAGTACATCTTTTTAACCTAAATATAGAACACATCTATAAATTATGAATGTTTTGACTTCGGCATGCAAATAATAGCAACATCATGATAACACTTACTTTTTTATGATAATGACCATTTAGTTAGTCAATTTATACAAAGTAGCATCATCGCTTTTGACAAAAGAAGCTCTAGAACATACTAGGACGAAACACCTGTCCAGTGCTCCAGGGTTTCCAATGTTCCTCCAACTGATGTCAGTCCACGGTGAATACCAACATGAAATATTTAATCAGTTAGAAAAAGTATTCTTCCTCTTATTTATGGTTAAATGAATAAATTTCACCAGTTATCTAGTAATATCTTCTGAACTCAATTAGTGGAGTTCAGAATGTGAATGAGAATGACGTTTGAAGAGGGAGTCCGGAGGGAAAGCCTTAGTTATATATGAGACTAGCTCAGTGATTTAACAGTATTCTGCATGTCAAGAAACCTCAAACTTTCGAATACATATTTGATCACGATCAAATACATCATAATTTACAATGACTGGAAAGCATTCAGTAGAAAAATATACCATCAGACGGATCACTTAATCATAATGTTTTGTCCAGTACCTCTTGCTTCCTTGGTCTGAATTCTTTTCAAGCTTTTCAATTGTTCTACTATTAAGAATCATGTAATTACTCTTTGATTTCTTTGTACAAACCCCAAATACTTGTTCTCATGTTCATAATTATATCTATCTCTATGCTCTAACTCGAAGAGAAAATAATTTACTGGATCTAGTAAATAAAAATGTCTGTCTCAGTGTATGACACATCTAATAAACAGACCAATATGGAATTACAATCTACCATAGAGCCATAGTTGTACTCCTACACTTTCCTTTCCATGTAAACATCTACACACCTCCATATCCATTATCGACCAATGATTCATATCTGTTCGTAGGAGTTTTGAAATCTCCTATTCGACAGATAGACATAATGATGTTTTAAGAAGTGCTAGGTAATAAAACTGCTTTCTTGTGTTTTTCATAACCATCAGTTACACATGAGGTAGAACGCCTCCCAATATTGCACTTGCACAGATAATTTTATACGTTTCGCCATATGTTACGTGAAACAACTCAAAAACTTCAAGTAAGAGCTTGAAGTGTTCGAATCATAGAGCACTGCTTAGAGAATACGTGGGAATTTATTGAAGCAATACTCAAGGACATGCATTAACTTGATTAAAAAACTAAATAAGATGAATAATTTCCGAATGAACTGCGAACTGCGCGGTTCACTGTGACATCTCTAATAGCTGAGTATTTTACCAACTGTCCAACCGTAGTATCAACAGAGTTTCCGTTGGAAATCATCCAGCCAAGATCACAAGGAGTGGTCTCCGATGCGAAAGTGTCATGAACTAGCAAAATATAATACCGATGAACAAATTGAATATTTTGTAAGCACTTACGCTGATCTGTAGATTCTGCTCGCCAGATTAGAGTGACTTAAAAACCGGACGGCTGTTCCGTTCGTGATCTTGGCTGGATGATTTAAAACGAAAACTCTGTTAACACCACGGTTGGAAAATTGAGAGATTGCTCAGCTGAGATTTGTCAAGATGAACAGTGAACTTTGTAAATCATTTGCAAACTGGTTATCGTTTTTTAGGCATACTGGTCCAAGCAAGTCAACTAGCTAGATTCAGATGATCTGAACTAGTTCAGCTCTATGAACTGAATTCTTCCGGGTACATTGTTGATTAACCCGATAGTAAACGATCTAAATGGCCGTTCGGCGTTTCGATCATTCTGATCTGAAGTCTATAGATCAGTCTGTATGATTTCTAACTACTTAAGTTACTCAGTAATATATTTGGATTAAAAATAAAAGTCGACAAACCGAATTTTGATTTTTGGGTAGCTTTCGTCATCGAATAACGCCAGTAGGAGGAACGTCGAAAACCTAGAAGCACTGGACGACAGTTTGGTTTTCATTTTGAACTTCTAGACAATAAGATCTATGAATCCGCAAGGGATCAAGAACAGGAGTTCTGGGTGTTAAGGCTGTGTTGCCGTTCAGCCAATGAGTTAGGCTGCAGTGGTCCATTTCTCATTTCTATCAATTCACGATACAGCACAAACATCTTTCATGGCCATCCACCTGATACCCAACTTGGTTGAACCACAGGCTCCATCTCGAAGCAAGTGGAATAAAGATTTTTAGGAATTTATTGATATCTAGAAAGTTTTCATCACCAACTGAAATGAGTCAACCCGCTTTATATCTTCTAATAAAATTAGACATTAAGGGAGCTGAAGGTTTTAGATACAGAGGTGGTACTATCCAGTGAAAATAAGAAACCAACATAAGGGGAATAAAATGCAAGAAAGTGATTTATATCGCGGCTGTTTCACAGAAGTGACTAAGACATCTCGATCATTCACTGGAACAATATCATTTGTAAATAACCCACACCATTCGGTAAATTATTCGATGCTCTAGACATTTTTAACTAGGTCATAAACAACGAACGTTGATCTCGCCTCCTTAGCGTCAACTACATGTCACCAAACCATCAAGTTAGTAACGTAAGGGTCAAGTGTGACGTCTTAAAAAAATAAGTAAGTCATCACTAGATGAAGCATAAAACCTGCAGCGGCTAAAACAGACTAAATATGTTTTATGAGCGACGTCCACTTCGGCATGTGATGTTAGCTGCGGTAGGGACAGTTGGAAGGTAGTTACGGATGACCAGACTCAGTGATGGCGTCAGTCCATTAAGTCTCTGACAGGGTGTCGGAAATGTAGGCTCCCTGGTTAGAGACTGTAAATGATAACTTACACTCAATTGTAGTGGTTCACATACATTCACACTTTTTCTTTACCTTAACCACTACATCAAATTTCATTATTTGCCCTCTCCCATCTTCCCTTCATTCCATGGATTTCTTAGACCTTCGATTGCATTATTTCAATTCATTTATTTTTTGTCTTGTTACCTTGTATCTATATTCAAGGTGTGTTAACATAGACCGTCTCACAGTAATTGATCCCAAGCTCTGGGTTGAATGAAAGGCATTTTATTTTTCCATTCGTGGTAAGTAGTGAGATCTAGAGCGTTTGTCCTATTCTATTTGACGTGTACTACCATGACATCACAATGGAACTTCTGATAGATAGTCATCATCAGACTGGGATATATAATATTACTGAGTAACGGCCCCATCTGAGCAGAACTTCGCAAAGAAAAATAATATGAACAGATTTAGCAAAAAGCTGTCAGAAGAAGAAAGAGAGGATAGAGAAAACAATGAGATGGAATATAACCGTCGACATCTAGAGAAGAGATAAATGCTTCTTCGCTAATGTAATCATCTCCTAATCCATATCACCTAGGATTTCCTATCATTTGTTTCATTTATTTCATGCAGTACAACCACAAAGCCTACACTACCCTATATAGTTGGAAATGGTAGTCAGAGATTCAAAGAACTGATCCATATTGATACATTCTTACAGTTGGTTTAGCAAAAAATGAGTCAAAGTGAACGCGAGACGAGTTAGTATTCGCAGTCATCTACTTATTGCCAACTTACTTCATTTATGGCACCGCTAGCATATCCGACGGCCTATTAAGAATTGAATATACTGCGTTGCAGTTCAATCTCTTCTACTTTATGGCTGCGAAACACGGTCACTTAAAGGTCTTCATCATCATCAATGTCAACACAGGACCAGACATTACTGCATAACCGTCCAAGTTGTCACACCTCATGTCAGCACATCAATTAATAAAGTAATAAGATGAAAGATGGAGATAGGAGGCGAAATCGGTCAAAATCGGTAGAAGAGAGGAAGGAGGGATGAGAAACTCCTGAATTCAATATAGCGGTTAAGATGAAGATAATATGTGGATACATCTGCGCCACTGACATCAATTCTGAGCCATATCACCTAGAGTCACCAACCAGTCACGTCAGCCTCAAATAGGAAATCTACATTTCCCTACACAGCTGAAACCAGCAGTCAAAGATCCCATGTAATGGTGGCATTTCTTAGTCTGGCCGCCTACAACCTTTGTCCAGTCTGAGCATACTTGGGCTAACATTGTGTGAAGGCATAAGTGAAGGTAAAGGACATGATAGGGCTTCTAATATTAGACCAACGTTGTCTTCGTAGCTCAGACAATAGGGCATGGTGTCATCATGTCAGTAATGTGGAATTCAGATGTAGAGTTTTGGAGAGAAGGGGAAAGTCAGTTAAAGAGGTTGTGAACCCTCACTGACTCAAGCAGCTGGGACATGTGTTACGTATCCCTAGTTATCATCTGCCACGTTGCTCAATGATAGCTGAAATAGGTTTAGGCAGAAAAAGGTTAAAGAACATCAGACTAAAACATGGCATAATTGCATAAAGTCTTTGATTGTTGATTTCAGCAATCTAAGTAAAAGCAGACTCCCTTAATGAAGGCAACGTGAATTTGACAACCCCACTGAGACGACAATCCCCTGACAACGTGGAGTGTGTCAAGGCGTGAGGGAAATTGCTATCCAATATGTGACGTCATCTTGAAACGACTCTCATGACCTGGACACACCTGTTGCATACAGTCCCAGCGACTTACACACAGACAGCTCTGGTAATGATTGGAAAAGTGGTCAGTGTTTGATATGGCGCCTTAAAATGAAGGATATTTGCTTTTCACTAGTATTCTGTGATGTATTACAACTTCTAGAATACGGCCCGAGAAAATAAGCAAATCGATGGCAGAAGGATTTATAAAATATGACTTCAAGTTAAAAGTAATAGTGATATTGTAGTGGAAGCTGCTGATCAGAATGGATATAAAGTAGTATATGTTGAGAGAGCGGCAGAAATCATGGACAATTACCAGCAATGGGTAAAGATTCTGAGCAGAGAAACACAAAAGACGATGTGGGCCTTTTAAAAGCAAATAAAGATAAAAGCAGGAGAGGAAATGAAGCACATTGTGAGAATGACTGTTTTGGTGGAAAGTGTACAATATTTCATCACTACTGTACATGTCAATAATAAACATTTCTTCCTGTGTCTTAGTCTTGTCGTTTCCAACAATCGTGTCGCTGCTTCTGGACGTGATGAAGATTCCGTGGCCTGCAGTGTTCCAGGATGGAGACCTCAAGATTTTCCTCAAGGACTTCGAGTCGGTTGCGGAGCTGCTGGGTGTCCAGTATCCAGGAACAAAAGTTGTGGTTCTTGGCATGTTGCTGAGGGGTAGAGTGAAAACGAAATATGACGACGTGGGACGTGTGGGTGGGAAGGAGACTTGGAAGATAATGGTTGAACGCCTGGAGGCGGAGTTTGACAGCCCAGCCGACAGGGAGCTGGTGATGCAGCAATTCCGGAGCACGAAACTTGGAATAGACGAAGACCCGCTGGTATTGGCTGTGAAGTTGACAAAACTACTTCAACGAACACTTCCCACTTTGGATGACTGTCAGGCGCAGTTAATGGCTGCACAGTTCACCGGAAGTGTCCCGAATGCCATCACCCAGCACCAACGACCAGTGAACGCAGCCCAAACCATGGATATTAGTGAGCTGGTCAAGGTCACCAGACAGCTAACAGGCACGGCAGTAGCTGCAGTGGAGTTACCAGAGGCAAATAACTAGTAAAAACAAATCGACAACCTTCAGGAGGAGGCTGCACTTCGAATGAATATCAACAGACAGAGTAAATGCTCTGCATGTAGAAAACTGGGACACTGAAGTAACTGTCCGGAGGCGAAAAAGAAAGGTTTTGAAGGATATATGGGTTCTGTTTTTCCGATCAGACTGGATATCATAGGAGCCATAGACAGAGGTGCTGTGTATGTTAGAATGCGAATAAATGTTCGGGAGATCTTATGTCTAGCTGATAGATAAGTCAGTCTCAAAATATAGGACCATGTGCTCTAACAGTCCACACAGTTGGGGGACATGCATTAGAATTCGCAGGCTTATCAGATTGTGTTGTCGAGATTAGAATTCAGAAGACTAGACTTACATCCATTGTCACCACGCGTCTACAACGGACAACCCTAGGTGCTGATTTTTTGAGAGAAGTGGGTGAAGCTACGAATACGACAGCAGGAATAGTGGCGACGAAATACGGGTCGTTCAACTTGCAGGAACACAGCGAGGCATCAAAAGTACCACAATCTGAAGTGTCAAACATCATGAAGTTGGTTAAGAAATACGACAGATTGTTCACAGGAGATGGAGACCCCTACACGTACTGTGAAAAGGTTCAGCATGAAGTCCCAGTGACAAGTCAAGCAATGACAACATTTATAACACGGCGAATACAATGTCACTCAGAAGTTGGGCACCGGGTTCAGGAAATGCTAACTGAAGGCATTAATGAAGAGGCCGATAGCCCATACAGTTCGCCAGTGCTTTTAGTAAGAAAGTCCAATGGGAAATATAGATTCTGTGTTGATTTCCGAGAGTTAAATACCATAACGAAAAAAAGCCCTGTGCCGTGCGGACGGTAGCTGAAACATTGGATCGTCTGCAGAATACAAACATCTTTATATTTCTAGACCTCCGTTCAGGCCACTGGCAGCCACCAATAAAAGAAAGTGATAGAGAGAAAACAGAATTTATTGTGGGCAAGAAGCAATACCAATTAAAAAGAATGACATTTTTGTCTTACAAGCGCGCCATTTACATCTAGACGATTGATGTTGCTGCTGAAGAACTTTAAGAACGTAAAGGTCTATGGTGACGACCTGGCGGTGTACAGTTAGACGGAAGCAAAACATATAGAACACCTGGAAGCTGTTTTAAGACGCATTGATGAGTTTGGACTTCACATCAATACAACAAAATCTCAGGTAGCCAAGAAGAGTGTTATATTACTAGGACATAAAGTTGGAAACGGTGAAATAAAACCACTGGCTGAGAAAATTCTGAAGGTTAAAACTGTTCGAGCGCCGAATTCAAAGAGGAAACTGTGACAGTCCTTGGGTAGAGCAGCATTCTGTAGTCGGTTCTGCACAAATTCTAACAAGATAGCAACACCCTTATACAAGCTACTTGCTAACCCCAAATCTACGTGAACAGAGGAGGCATAGAAAACATTTGACCATATCAGAGAACTCCTAAATGACCAGGAGATGACTTTAAAACCACCAGTACCCAGGAGACCATCCACTGTGTCCATCGACGCGAGTGATTATGGAATAGGAGCAGCTCTGAGACAGACTGAAGGAGTAGTGGAGTATGCCAGCGGTATCCTGACACATGCAGAACATAAGTATTCCAAAGTTGAAAAGGAATGTCTGATGACAGTTTGGGCGCTGGATAAATGGAGGTCCTACCTCCTCGGTCAATGATTCCATATTGAAACTGGTCATAAACCCTTACAGTGGCTAAAAACAGCGAGAGACCTTAGAGGAAAATTATCACGTTGAATGTTACAACTGTAAGAGTACAATTTCACAATCAGTCACGTGACGGAGAAAGGAAACTAGTTGGTAGACTTCTTAACAAGATCAGACGAAGAAAACGAACTACCAGGGATCGCATACGGTGTACCTGCAGTAGAACCGAACCCATTAGGATTTATTTACCTTCAAAAGTCAGACCCTACATCTAAAGAAGTGATAAAAGCCATAACTGAAGGACCAGAGACAACAAGTCTGGAGGAAATAAATGGTTAAAAACGTTGTTGACGCAGAAAGAAACCCTACGGGTGAATACTTATGGAATGCTGACCTGGTGAGAAGACGACGACAGCTGTTTGGCAGTGATTGTGGAATGTCTACGCGACAAAATGATACAGGAATGCCACCAGTTAGCGCATGCAGATGTCGCACGGACAGTCGACCTTCTCAAACAAAGTGCATACTGACCAGGTATGAGATATGTTGCCAAACACGTGCTGGGTTGTCCTCACTACCAGCTGATGAAAGATGATCAGTATATACGACCGCCGTGTCAGTCGATTCCAGTAGCAGCAGTTGGTGACCTGTAGTCTGCGGACGTAATAGGAACATCTCCGCAGACACTCGGTGGCAAACAACAGCTGTTGGTGATGACGGAGCATGTTACATGATGGTTAGACGCTGTCACAATTCCTGATCATCGCGCAAAGACAGTGACCGCGGCCGTATTGCCGCATATTCTCGCAGACCACGGTGTACCCAAGATGATATTGACTAACCAAGGTCCTAGTTTTGTGAGTGAAAAATTCAAATCCTGTTTGAAGTAGCTCCATATCAAGAGGATAAGAACGACACTGTATCACCTGCAGACTAACAGGTTGGTAGAACGGAATAACAGTACACCTAAGGAGTGGCTGGCTTCGAAAGGAGGGAACTGGGAGACGGAATTGCCGTTAGTGCTATTAGCGCATCGTGCCTCTGTACTAGGAACAATCAAGTCGTCATTTCCGTTAACGTATGACAAGAAACCATGTCTCCCAATACACAGTAAAACTTGACCCCAACAACAGTCATGGAACATAACACGATTGAGAAAGGAGCGGAAAAAGGAAGCCAGAAAAGTGAAACAAAAACAGAAAGATGGTTCTAAAAAATCCGAGTACAGAGAAGGAAGTAAATGGAAACCATCTGAGGTCAGAGATTAAGCGAAATGTAGAGAACAAAGATATACTTCAAGCAATATTACATTGTCCGTCGTTCTGTCTCTCCAACGCATGATCTAATATCTCAGAAAACCCGAAATGTAAGCTTACATTGACAACTTGATGACTTATTGATTTTTCTTGTATTCAGTTAACGAATGTCCTGTGAAATAAAATATTATCATCTTATTCAAATGTGGTTCGTGTTACATCATTCAAATAAGAAAGCAACTACCACCAACCAGTGTATGCAATTTTAAACATTTTAAAAATACTCGGTTTTGTACAAGGTTGAAAAACATTTATTATGAGAAAATATACAAATGTACATGAGTTTGTGTGGCTTTAGACAATATCACTGAAATTACAGACCTACTTAACAACCAATTTAGATAAAATCATGTAATCGACAGATCAACTCCTTTGAATAAAGAAGGATCTGTTCGATCAGTTTTAAACCCAAGTTTCTTAAAAAATTGAACAGCACTTTGATTCGATTTGAACACAGTCAAAATAACACGGTGCATGTTAGCTGCAACAGCAATCGACAACAACAAGTTCATTAAAAAGCTTCCAACGTGTAAATGCCGGAATTGAGGATATAATTGAATTTCATAGCGGTATAAAACAGGATATTCGTCTTCTCGTTCAAATCGAAAACTCACAAAACCAACTAATGAATGAGAATCAGGTGAAACTGAAGCATTTTTACAATGGCAGATAATCAACCAAGATTTCGACGAGAATGCTTCAGCTCTTTTCGTTTCAGCATTCCAACCCCATGAAGATGAAGTGTACAAATCCTAGATAAGTTATCTCAATCTCTAAAATAACTAGTAATTACTTGCATATTTTGTTGAAGCAGTTTCATTAATTCATCAATAACTGTTTCATTCACTTTAGACGCTTGTACGCATTCAACTGTGATAACACCATCGATCACACCGAGGTAATCAGGAGTTTCCAATGATATATTTAATTGACTTTGTAGATCAGTCATCCTATTCGCGATATTGATCAACTCATTTGCTTTGGTTTTTCTAAAGGAAATTAATCCACCATGTTTATTGTATTGTTTGCCCATTTCTCACTTCATCCCAGGACAATACACAATTTCATCAGTGAAAGCTAAATAATAATGAATAAATGGAAATTTTATGCACAGTTTGAAAACTCCTTACACATTATTATGATTAAAGCGTGTTGATAGAATAGAATATGTGCTTCAGTTTATGAAACAAATGTCAATGAAAATGAATTTTAGACGATGCAATACTGGAAACTGGCTAAGGAATCATCAGTGGATTATGAAGTCCTTTTTAGTATTTAGAAAACCCCAAACTCTTAAACAAAATTCAACTTTTTAATATTCCTGGTTACAAGCACATGTTGATCATATTTAACTCACCATCAACCTCATCCTAAACTAAAAATCTTTTCCCTCATTTAAAAAAATCTTTTCGACACAAAGCGCTTGCTTCTTCATGTTGGGAAGTGGAGAATTTCCCTGGTCGGAGAGCTGCCACTCGAGAGTAGCTACTCTTCTCACACGGATCTTTACATACAGTAGAACATCCTGCCACAGTGTTAGATACAGACCAACACCAACCCTCTTACTTGGGTTGAAAACTGCACAACAAAGCGATAGAAAACTGCTGCCAATCATGATATCGGATGCACACAACAGACTAACCAAATACAACAAAGTAATCACAACTCAAAAACGAAATTCGGAACCAATCATCTTAGTAGATATGATGAACAAATTGACAACAGCCATCAATATAACAACCGAAACCAAAGGCGAGAAGAGGAGCCGAAGTTAAATGATAAACTACTCAGGCGGCTATCACAACCAACAGACAAGAAATCAAAAGATGAATGGTCAGTGAGTGTCTACTATCTGCAATAGAGTGCGATTTGCTTCAAACGGGACCACACCGGAAATGCTTAACAACTGGATTTCTGGACTACTTTGGAGTCTACTTTGAAAACCTCAGGATAAAATGTTGAGCGACAACAGGATCTACGTCAATCAATTCTACCTCTAATGAAAATCAAAGGAAATCAACACCTAAGCACAAAAGAAACAAATGTGCTCAAATTACTAATGACTGACAAGAGAACTGTAATATTGCCCTCCGATAATGGAAGGAAAACAGTCGTCATGAGCAAAACGGACTAGACTATGTCAAAAAAGGGCAAGCATTGCCGAACAACGAAGATGTCTGCCAACCACTAGACAAGAATCCAATTAAACAGTTGGGCAACCAGATTCAAAGAAAACTGAGTTTAGTGAAAGACGATCAAGTGGCAAAAGAAGAAGAATGATAGGTGATGACAAACAGAGCATTCCTGTAGAGGTTTATGGTCGACCTGAGATACATGAGGATAGATATTCCACAACGACCAATAGTTTCACTATATGGAAAACTATTCAATCTATCGAAAGAATTATACAGAAAACTAAAGCACCTAGTCGATGGAAGTCAACACCAAGTCAGTTCAGTAACTGAATTTTTAGACAAAATAAAAGAAAGCAGTGACGAAAGAATGATATCGTTTGGTGTGACTTCACAATAGAGAGTGTGGTGAATGAGTGTGTCGACCACTTCACTTGCCTGGGAAGTAGGATCAACCCTGGTGGCAGGCTCAGTGGCCTAAGAAATCTCTGCATGAATACAAAAGGCTCAGCTGGCTTTTGCCAACTTACGCCACCTATGGCGCCGCCGTGATATCCGATTGTCAATTAAGGGTTGTGTGTACTTCACAGCAGTCCGGTCTGTCCTACTGCATGGCTAAGAAACATGGCCATTGAAGGTGGAAGATATGAGAATACTTTGAGTTTCTGACCACTGTTGACTTCGAAGTATAGGCCGTATTCCGTGGTGTCACCATGTGAGTAATGCAGAAGTCAAGTATAGAGTTTTAGGGAGAAGAGGTAAATCAGTTGATGAGGTTATGAACCTTCATCAACTGAGACAGTTGGGACACGTATGCCTAGTCGCCGACTGCCTAGACACACAATGTTGGCCGAAGTAGGTCCAGGCTGGAAAAAGGCCCGAGGTGCCCAGACTAAAACATGACATCAATGTATGAAGTCTCTGACTGTTGGTTTGAGCCATGTGGGGTGACGCAGAATAGGTTGGTTGGGGTCCGTGGGACAAGAAGAACCAGTGGTTAGAGACCCTAGATGATATGACTGAGAACCGATGTCAGTGGCGGAGATTTATACACACATTATCCTCATCTTAACGCTATGCCGAATCTTACCATTTTCTCATTCTTCCTTTCTTTCTTTTCATACTTTATATTTCTTCTGACTGAATTTTATCTTCATCCCGCACTTCACTGCCTTTTTACTTGATGTAATGATAAGAGCTGTGGCAACCCGGACTGTTACGCAGTAATGCCTGGTCTGATGTTGATACTGATGATGACTTCACTCTTCCCTTCCATCGACTACAGAAGTCCGAAGAAAAATACCTGTACAAAGTGTTTATCAACAGGACAGAATACAGAGCGATGGCTTCAAATTGATAGGCAGGTTACGTTATACTACACCAAAGATATCTCACACACAGTCAACCAACTATTTCGTTCGTTCCCAATCGGAGTAGACTGACTTACTGACAAAATCAACGTAGAACCTCGCACACAGGCGAGTAGATTAAGAGTGATGTTAAAGTAGACAAGCTTGTGTGAGAGAATAAACGATCTGAAGACAAAGATTAGTGCAAATATTCAAGCCTTAGAAGATATCAAGGAATGAATACATCCACGCTATTGCGACCGATTTTAAGTATGTCACCAAGATTCCTCAATCACTGATTCCTTTCGTCCCAAGGACTCCATCCAGGCAGTTTATATCTTCCAACCCGATTCAGACTAACAGTAAGAGACTTCATCGGCTGGTGCCACGTCTTGGTCTGGACACCCTGAACACCCTTCCAACGTAATCGAACATCCCCTAGAATGGCACGTCGAGGTAGGCGGTGACGGCATGCAAATCGCAGTTCCAAACCACCTCAGTCGATGAAGGCTCACAACCTTATCAATAGATCTGTCTACCTTGCCTAGTACCCTTCGCCTGACCTCAACATTTCTCGAAACCTTGTAATCGCTTCACTTCTGCTACTTTTAACGGCCATGTCTCACAGTTATACAACAGGAAAGAATGGACTGTAGCGCAGTTTACTCATGCTCTGACTGATAGTCGGATATCTTGACAGTCAGCGCCACAGGTGGCGTAAGTTGGTAAATGTCAAACGAGCCTACTGTATCCGAGCTGAGATTTTGTCAGCAAGCAAACAGATCGCGCTAATGCAACTCCACAAGTAAATAAATCGGTCGACACATCCCTCCACTTCACTCCCTATCATTAAACCGGGAGCGCTTGCATAAGACCGGTCCTAGACCATCATCTTACATTTGACAGGTGCGAAACGCATGCCAAACATATTCAGATTTCTGCTCAATGCGTTCAGAAGACCTTGCATTTTGTCAGCATCGTCACCTAGCGGGACAACATCGTCTGCATACTCCAAATCATCCAGATAATCTACAGAGAGTAGGTCAATCACTATAGAGTCAGACGTACCTAAGGTTATGTCCATTCGAACGTCTATAACGAAGTTAAATAGGAACGGTGACAGTGGGCATCCCTTGCAGACACTAGTTGTCGTCAATTCAGATGACAACTTTCTATAATCCCTTACACAACTACGTAAGTTAGAGTAGAGAGCTTTGATAAGCGTTTTTACTCGCACGGTACTCCCTTTAGTCAGATACTGCCATGGCAACTCATGGTTCATAGAGTCAAATGCCGCCTTCAGCTCAAGATATAAGACGTGTAGGCCAATGGTAGGCACACCTGTGTTCCAAAGCCTGTTGGAGGATAAAATTCTGATTGATGCACCATCGCTCAGCTCTGTCCGAAACCTGTCTGGTTTTCTCGAGTTTGCTATTCTTGAGCTCCAGTTAGGCGTTGGATAACTATAGACCCTAGGATCCTGAACACAGTGTTAGTTAAACTAATTCCCCTATGGTCGTCACAGAAAGACTCCTCTCCTTTCTTATAGACTCAGATGATTAGATAAAAATACTAATCTGATTGCACTACCTCTGATTCCCATACACTACCCAGTGCCTCCGCTGCTTCACTCAACAATTTCCAGCCCCTATCCTTGAAAACTTCAGGTGGAAGACTGTCAGGTCCTGCAGCTTTACATCACTTCAGGCTTAATAAGGCTTTCTAAACTTCAAGAAAAGTTGGAGAGCCGACATCTATGTTCCATTCCGATTCAGGTGGAGTACTGGGCAACTGAGGCGTTACTGAGGGCCAATTAAACTGTGCTTCAAAGTGTTCTCTCCAACGTTTCAGCCACCTGTCCTGGGAGATTACCAGCGTCCCATCTTTTCCGTTGATGGTTTCACTCAACATCGTCTTCTTGTCGGCATCTCTAATAAGCCTAAAAAGTTGGCATGTTTCACCCACCGCTGATGCCTTTTTCATCTCTCCCGCTTTCATCACTCATCAACCCTCGAGATTGGCGCAAAGACTCTCGGTCAACTTACTTTTTCATCGTGATCACAGTCAGCTAAAATCAGTCTTCTCGAATCAATCATTTCGGATGACGTGGAAATCCAATGACGTTTTTTAACCTTCGGGTGTAGATTACCAACTGTATTTACCGTTGTTTCTACAGCAGACTTAATATCACGCCAGGTTTCCTCAAGATTACCATTCCTGTCATGCTCAGACAAATGCCAACTCCTCTCTAAATATCCATTTGGCGTCCTCATCTACCAGTCGAGCACAGATTAGCCTCACTGCTTTCTCTTTCCTGCGATCAAAAATCGTAGATATATGCGACTCAATACTAGCACGTGGTCGGAGTCCAAACTGATACTCCAGAAAGAGCGGCAATCCTCTACCGACCCTCTTCAATGATAGCTTATAGCAATGTGATCTATCTGTGTCCATCGTTGGTTTGATGTCGGCAGACGCGATGTGAGACAGTGTCTCTCCTTATGTCAAAGGTCAGTGCTGGCAAGAAACAATTGACTGTCAGGATAAAAGTG